CGGCCGTGGAAATCTAAATTTTTCGCAGATTGAAGTGCAACAAGTGTGGTGCATTTTGAGCCCAGTGCTGGCACTGGGAATGTTGGCGGCAGAAGTGACAGCGAGAAAGGAGTTATGCCGGAACTGTGGTGGTAGGAACGATGATTATGGGGGAAGGGATGCTTGATATGCTGGACGAGGTTAATCTTAAAATAATAATCAGGGGGATAAGGGCCGTTATGGCCATGTTTGTTCCAGCAGCTCCAGCTGCATATGGTAGTCCTGTAGGAAAATTCCCCTCCCGTTTCCTAGTCCATGTTGTGAATAGTTTTTTTTTCTGTCCGCCTTCCAGTAGCTATGGTGGCGCCAGTTCTTACCCTTCTCTGTATGGATCTCCTCCTCCAAACAGATATGGAAGTGAATGTCTAGTAGCCCATGGTGGACTATCGTACAGCTAGAGGGGGCATGGTGACCATATGAACCCTAGCCATGATAGTGTTGCTCCACCTCATGGTGGAGGTGGTGCCCCTGTTGCTCCTGCTGTAGTTAAGCTATATGATGACAATTGCAGAGAATTTTGTGATAATTTAAGGACTTAACATCTCAAACAGATCTTTTTTAATGGTATGCACAGGTATTAGTTATTTTCTATTTTAGTTTGCTTTGGTCTTTTTGTTCGCTGAGATAGAGTGGTTAATTAGGTCATGTAACAGGACAATGGTGCCTCTTTTTTGGAAATAAAATGTTGTTATTTTGTAGTTATACTTTTAGATTTAAAGCATCACTGATTTGTCATAAACAGAGTTGAAAATAAAAAAAAAACCATTCTTTCCCTTTGGAGCATAACAACATTTAATAGAATTTGGATAGCAAATCTTCCTGTCATATCTGTTGATCAATCACATCTGTGCATCTGTTTCCTCGATTATCTAACATGATGGTGATAACAACTGTTAATACAAGTTCATAATTTGTCATATTCATCTGAAATATTTTGTGATGCGAGTAAATAAATGTGTTGGTTGAATTCAAAGTTAGACATTTATCCTATTGTTTTTATGATGTTTAATGCCCGATATGACTATGAGATGTGATCTCATAAGTTTTTCTTAGCATTTGTTTTTATGAGTTGGTGAGATGTTTCACCCGGAACACATAATGGGTATTTTGACCTTGTAAGTCCACTAGAATTATCAACTTCTATGAAGGAATAGTTAAAGGAGCCTGAGAAGAAAAGAAATATTCCTAATCGAGCTAAAATCGGTTTGTTGATATAGCTATTAATTTAATGGAATTGTTCCTAAAAGAGCCTGGAAAGAGAGGATATTTTCTTGATCAGGGTGTTTAGTTGCTACTTTGCTGCCTCGATGATCCTTTGATATCATTATACCTGCTTCTTGGAAGTATGTCCAGCCACCACAATGCATAGGGGGTCTGAACCTATGATTTTTATCATTGTTTTCAGTTACTAAGGTTCTGTAGTGTTTAGGAGAACCTGGCGCCTAAATGATTTACATTAGTTGGGTGCTGGTTTATTGTTAGGTATTATTTTTTCACGTCAAAAGATTTGTATATTTTGATGCAACCTATCAGATATGATAAGACATTTTCATGTAATATATCTCCAGCTGCAATATAAAAGTTAAAGTGCCACTTAAGTTGTACCTGAAACTTGGACCCTTTGGGCAGCAGGTGGTTGATGCTTAAGTTATCCGTTGTTATAGAGGCCATGTGGGTTTCAAGAGGCATCTGTTAGACTGTCTTAAATATTGAGTTGGGTGTCCTGAGAACAGAATTTGTATCAGTTGGTGTGATGACTTCCTAGTATGCTATGAACATGCGTTTTACAGTTGTCCAATTTCTTGTTTTATAATTTAAGTAACGCTTCCTATATCACTATCGCCAAAGGCACCAGTGGTCTAGTGGTAGAATAGTACCCTGCCACGGTACAGACCCGGGTTCGATTCCCGGCTGGTGCACGAGAATTTTTTTAAAATTCTTCGTACCTTCTGAAGTTTAACAATTTGCTGTTTTTCGTTCGTGCATATTTATACAATTTGACCATAAACAAAATATACAACGTTTTTAATAGGTTGAGGGTATAAACTGGACAACCTATTTGAAGAGTTGATTTTTTGTTCCTTTCACGGCCATGCATTCATCAACCGTTGTGTTCGTAAAGGTGTGTAGAGTCTTCTGTCATGTATGCCCTGCACCAAGTAAAAAAAAAAATTTACAGATAGTCCAAAGGTAACAGACATTTTTGGAGAAGCCAATATCTCTCAAAGCATCTCATCCAAAGAGCTAAAAGAGTACGGTTGCAATCCTTTTAATTACTGTTGTCATCCCTAGTTAAAGTCTAAATGAAATGGGGACATAAAAAAAATTTCTCTCATCCGTGTAAAGAACCTTTGTGTGTTCTTTCATAGCAAAAAAATGAGGAATTCCGCAGAGGTAGTGCAAAAATGAATAAAAGTCAGCATGCTAAAAAATTGACATACAAGATTGAATAGAAAATTTTAATAAGCATACCTTTTTGGTCATACTGGAAATTTTAGAGATAGTTCATGACTTCAAACAAGTCATTTTGGTTGCTTATAACCCTTGCTTTATCATCCACAATTTCCAAAACCTGGTTTGATCAAATAATAATATCAACAACCATAATAACAGTTTCCTTGACAAATCAGAATAAATGCATCTTGACAAAGATTTGGGACTCTTTCATTTTCTTAATGCTAAAGAATCTTCTCAATGTACTATCTCTCATGTCTAATCCAGCTCCAACTACATTAGGAAAGACAGTCTTAGGATGTGAGACATAAGATCAGTTTCCATTAACATCATTTTTTATGACATACTTAAATAGAAAGGATGATATGTCATACCTGTTAACACGTTTAATTATGCGCACCCTTTCTATTTAATTATACGCATAATTAAATAGAAAAAAAAGGTTCATGATAGACATGACAAACCAAAGAACATTATCTGGTGTTGAATCATATTTACCTCTGGTCTTGAATTAAGAACTCCACTAGACATGCCCACATCAATACACCATATTCTTTCATTATATTTGCTGCATATATAAAAGTGAATTTAATTTTCCAAGAGTTGAAATGTCTACTTTATTGAAAGGATGATATGTCATACCTGTTAACACCATTAAATTGTGGAGTATGGCCAACCACCATTCCCTTTGCTCCTACAGCTTGCAATGTTTCTTCCAGAATAGAGGATATCTATGTAGAAAACAGATCAGTTCAAGAAGTAGATGATAGAATGAAAAAGATCCAATAACATATCAACTGTGAATAAGATTTTTCTTAGGTCATTTTGTTTGGTAGGATGAGACTACATGCCTGCAAAATTTGGTACTTAGCATCTGCTGAATCTCTTGAATACAGACGATTCCAAACAATACTATCATAACCTCTGGTAGCTATGAAAGGAACTGCCGGACCATCACTACTTTCACTAAAGTCTCTCATCCAAAATGATACTTCTTTGTTCATCCTCTCCAAACCATATGCAACTGCACAAATTTCAGTATGTTGTCACAGATGATAAGAACAATGGTTAATCCTTGCTCTCTAGATTGTCAGAATTACAGAAGAATGCACTTTATTACAGAAGCTCAGTGACAAAGTTCAGTGACTATTCAGTGACTATTCAGAAGCTCTATGAGTCCATGTTACATGCTTGTAATATGCTCGAGGCAATAATTAATGGGCTTGAAATCAAAGACTAAAATGTTTAAAGTTGATCTCACGGTTCTCACCATCCAACGTGTCACTAATACAAAATGCTGAGGTATCACAAACCAATCAAATTGTTGATTTCCTATACAGGTTCACCCATGAGTCATCAAGTATACAAATACAGACACATACACATACAAGTTAACTTGTGAATGATACGTACAATGTGCATTCTATAGATAGCAAATAAAAGTTAATCCATGAATAATGAAACTTTTACTTAATAAGCATCAATAATTATAAAACTTACCATGATGAGGAAGAAGGCCACCATGGCAAAAGATCCAGTCATCAACTTTAAGAACCACAGAATGGCGTCCCAGTTCACAAGCCAGTGGACCACCTGGCCTCAAAAGTGAAGATCTTGCAATAACAGCCTGCTGCCTCTGTCCTAATATTTTAGGAAATCTGTCAGCATAATGAAAAATTTTAGATACAAAAAGATATTTTAGCATTTGTTTGTACTGCATGCTGAAAGATCCACAAAAGTAGAGATAACTTATATTAACCACATTGTCGACAAATTAAACCATATTAAAACTTTTCTATCTGAAACCTTTTAGCGTGGACACAGATGTTGATTTAATGCTATACACATCCAGATATCAACATATATCTCAAATTGTTAATTTAACCTATATCAAAGTAAGGATTGATATATTAAATTCAATTCTAGAAAAAAACTCACTTGCAGGTGCTATATCCAATTCATTTAATCTTTACCATTTTCAGAATTTCAGCATTACTTAAGGGAGAAAAATCATATGTTGGTTAATGAAAACACAAAAGTTAACATTTGAATTATGTGCATGATGCTAGACTAAATGTTTTAACACATGTTTGGAAACATGAACTAATCTTAAAACTATTGATTCTTGGATGAAAA